CAGCCCTGCCGGAGTCCAACATGCACTGGAAACAAGTCTGACTTACTGCCGGCGATGCGAACCAAGCTCCTGCTTCGATCGTACAGGGACCGGGTGGCCCTTAGCAAAGGGCCCCGGACCCCGTACTCCCGGAGCACCCCCCACAGGGCGCTGCGAGGGACACGGTCGAATGCCTTCTCCAGATCCACGCAGCACATGTGGACTGGTTGGGCAAACTCCCATGAACCCTCCGCCACCCTGAAGAGGGTATAGAGCTGGTCCAGTGTTCCACGGCCAGGACGAAAACCGCATTGTTCCTCCTGAATCCGAGGTTCGACTATCGGTCGAATTCTCCTCTCCAGTACCCTGGCATAGACTTTCCCGGGGAGGCTGAGGAGTGTGATCCCCCTACAGTTGGAACACACCCTCCGGTCAAGGTTGTTCAGACACTGAAGGAAAAATGTTTCATTGTTGGATAAGATGGTTACATTATCATTCTATTCAGTTTTTTTTTTTTTTTTTTTTTACCAATGTAAGCTGTGTGTTGCAGCATGATGTTCTGCGCATTCAGAACCTTTCTCTCTTTTGTTGTGTTGGTTGGTATTAGTAATTAGACATTTTTCTATCAGCTTTTTATCTAAAAAAAAAGGAATATTAAATTTGGTTCATGAGAACACTGTGTACTCTGCTTTATGATTGTTGACACAACAGTCAGTTGACCCAGGACAAGTTTCATTTGTGCTCGTTTGCTTTTCCATGAACCACTGTTTTTTTGAACTGCAATGTTGTGGCTGTAAATCTCAAAGTTGATTCAAAAGGACTCAGATTTGAGTTGACTCATGACTTGTTTGTCCAATAATATTGTTTTCTGACCAATACGGTTCCAGTAAAAGCATTCATGTGGCCAAAAACATGATCTGAGTTGAGATGGATCCAAATTTTGTATTGGTCCTAGTATTATCAAAACAAGACAGTATCAGTGGATCAGGTACTGATCTAGCCATCCCCACTGAGAGGAGCCCTCATCTATCTGCTGGGTTTACTCTACCACTGTGGGGGGATCCTGTCTCCAAACCTCATGGACTACATTTACCGAGGATGCTTCACATCGATGGGGTCTAATTGCCAAACCGTCTTCTGTAGCTAGCCTCAATACATATTGTTTCAGGTCTCTAGTTCCCTGTTTAGTATTAGAGGGTAATGGCAAAATGCATTCTCAGAATATGGTTAAAAATCTTAGTGTCATATCTGATTTGTGTTTGTCATTTGAACCCAGCATTAAAGGAATAATTGGATATTTTGAGAAATATGCTTATTCACTTTCTTGACAATTATATTTGATCAGGCTAGCTGATCCCTCTTGTTGCCTGTCTCTACCTCTTTATGCTATTCTTTTTGTTTACTAAATGGAAAGCAAATGGTGTTCTCTTTATCTGTTGCTGCAGTCCTTTCCTTACAGTCTTTGTCTTTTTTCCTGCCAGCAGATGAGTGGTGTAGCAGAGGAAGGAACAGGAGCGTTTACAATAATTGGTCAGCATTCTAGCTTTAGCTTTCTAAATCTGCCCATAATTAAATCTGTGTGCTGACACCACCCTGAGGTTACTCATCAAAGTGGAAGCACAAAACAGTTACATTTTGAGAGTCTCCACCGCACCATTGTAAACACTTTGGTTACAACTTTGACCAGAAAATAAAGTCACTTAACCGTAGACGTTCACTTCAATATTTTTATTTATCGCGCAACATAAAACAATATTGTGGGGTTTTTACCACATACACTATGTATTCACATAATACACCATACAGCTACAAAGAGAGAGAGAGAGACTGAACAAAAACACTTTTTTACATACTGCATCCTTGACATGAAAAATAAAGAACCAAGAACAACCCTAAAACTCAAAAAGGAATGTAGCTGCCAGCTGTGTGGGTTCATTTTCAATTTTTTGTATGGGCCAGGGTCCAAGTCTATCCCAAATTTGGGGTAAGTTCATTACATTAATTGTTCATTAATTTCTAAAAGTGGGCCATACACAGTGAGATGAATATGTATCTATGTTTGTGTGTGTGAGAGAAAGACAAAATATACAAGGTGTTAAGAGAAAAAGAGGGGTTGAATAAAGGAACTGCATGACTAGGGAGAGGAAGAGGGAGGCAGTACACAATTGCTATCCTTGTATTTTTCAAATATCATAGCATTCAGTTAGCATGAACATGTACAACCTACTCAAAATATCATTTCGCCTTTGGTACTTGCACTGTACCAAACATAAAAGCCAGATAACAGTCTTCAAATATGATTCAATATCTCATCCAATGACTTCAAGTACATTATGAAATGAATATTAAAAGAGAATATAATCGACTTTTTGAGTGCCCCCCCCCCCTCCCCGCCCTCAAAAAAAGATGTAAATTTGTAGCGTTGTAACAAAAGACTTCAGAAAGTCAGCACCAGGGCAGCTTCCCATCCTGTGAAACTGCTTTAATCAAAAGTACAGTTCTTTTGACATTCAAAGAGCTCAGAAAAATATTTGTGGTGATCATTTATCTCTCACATTTTTTACACAGTGAATTTAAGGTGAAGCATCATAGCACCAGCTGACCAACCCCCCAATCTCAGTACATACTTGGGAGGTGGTGCCTCACATGAGAACCATCCACCAAACCTGTGAGACATTTAGAAATTTACAAAGTTACTAAGAAATAATGTACACTGTATCCCCAGCACCTTTTTATGCAAGTGTCTGTTTGTGTGTAATGTTGGCCATGCATCATGGTTAAAAGTTAAACGGGCTTAGTCTCAGCCCCTGCACCAGTTGAACTATTGTTAGCCATGATGTGGGTGTTATACAATTATTATTCCAAACTAAACCCCAGGTGTCTTCCACTGGGACACCATATCTTTATGCCAAGTCCATAACTGCTATGATGAGAACTAGATAATAATGATAGATACATCTAAACAAGCAGGGAAGCAGTCTCTTACCTGATAGTCTAACACAACTGACAAAGATTGCCAAGCTATTACTTGCTAAAACATTGCCCACCAATTCCCCTCAGACTGACTCTGAAACTAGTATGCTCATAAACATCCCCCCTTCTGATGTGGTTCTGGTAGTTAAGCTATCAAGGGCAACTCTATTGATATTATGAGAATAGTTCACCATTTTGGGAGATATGTTAATTAGCATTTTTGCCAAGAATTGGTTGAGTAGACTGATACCACTGTCATGTCTGTTTGCTAAAATGGATCTACAGCCAGCAGCCAGTTAGTGTAGCTTATTAGCATAAAAGCTGGCAACAGGAGAAACAGCTATCTTCGCTCTGTCCACAGGTAACCAAATCAGCCCAGTAGCACTTTTAAAGCTTACTAATTAACAGTGATGTGTGGATCAATCATGAAATATTGATACTTCTGATCTCAACGTTTCCTGTTCTAGGATTGCCTCTCATAGTAAAGGACTGATATCTAAACTCCATAGTTTGGGGTAGCCTAAATGTATATTTTATCAACAGGGGACACATAAGGTGAGCAACCTATCATAAGTAGGCCTACAGTCTAATACCTGGTCGATTGGAACTACCTCTCCTTCCACCTGTCATAGCCATATGCGAATTACAGCTGTGTAAATGCGCGAGCCACTGAGAATCAGAATAAGAAACGCTTTATTAATCCTCACAGGGAAATAACTTTGTAACAGTTGCTCAAGACTGTGGAAGTCGTAGCCTTTACAGTAATTACATTATACAAAATTACAAGAATACAGTAGACCTACAAGAATTACAAGAAAGCACTAGGGTGCAGTCTGGAGTATCAGAGTGGATGTCACATGTGTTTGCCGGGAGCAGGGATGTAAACAGTAACCAAGGTGGCATGTGACAGCTTCCTGTGTATGTAGTATGGACGTTGTCCTACAGCTAGAACTGAAAATCTTGGCTACAGAAGCGTCCCTTCACAGTAATACGACCAGGGTGGCACCAATTGTTGTTTATAAAAGGGGAAAGCACTTGTAAGAACGCCTTATGTATCCTCTTCTCCTTCAGTTTCTGCTGACGGGACCCAGAGAGGAAGTAAGTGCTATCACACATCACTGTTAATTAACACGCTACATCTCATTTGTTACAGAAGCTGAACACACTGGATTCACAGAGGTTACGTGCTGCACTGTATCTTGGCCAGGAGTTACAACTTCCTGAAGTATGTAGAGTGTTCATTAGTGAGCTTTGGAAAGAGCCAAGCTGTTTCCCTCTGTTTCTAGTCTTTATGCTAAGTTAACCGTAGCATATAGACATGAGTGGTATTGATCTTCTCATTGAAAGCATTGCAAGTGAGTGAATAATCATATTTTCCAAATTGTTGAGCTATTCCTTTAAACCACATACAGCACATATCAGGTTTAGGACACATTAAGGTTTGTCCTTAGCCCACTGACAGTAGACCGCACTGAATACCACACAATTATGGTTTTGGTAATTTTTTTAAGCTTAAATGGAAATTTAATTTAATTTGTAATGACAGAGCTTCTCTTGGGTTGATGACACCTGCTATAAAATGTCAAAAAGTTCACTGTTGTTAGACAAATCAGCTTTTTTAAAAACTACAATTCATAGTTTTTGTAGATGTTTTGGTCAGAGAATGGGGGATCCCTAAGGTATTTTGACTGAGTCAGTGATTAAGTCAAGTGACTTTTCTTGTTACATAATTGGGGTAATGAATCAGTTTTTATAATGTGAAAGGTCTCTGTCAGTTACGTGCTGACAGGGGGTACAGTACTTAGAAAAACTAAACAGCAGTGTTACTAAGCACACATTTATACACAACACACTGGGACCAAGTGTTGTTTACTGTTGTTAAGGTCTGTCAGAGACTTCATAATACCCCCTTGTCATTTGTGGTTTAGTTATTATGCTCACCAGTTAAATAATCTTACCTAAATATTTTAATATTTACATTTTTATCTCTCTCTTGAGAAAAAAAACCCCAAAGCTTCAAGTTGTCAATAATCGGCTCTTTCTTTTTTGTCATTAAAATCAAGATTAAAAGTGCTTTTATAAATCTTTTCCTCTCTATGTACAATTTGTATTAGGTATATAAAAAAGAAGAGAAAAAAAAAACAACACCAAAGACAATCATTATCATCATCATCATCATGTAGTAATAAATAAGAGTTAAAAAAAAGGAGATTAAAATGAGTGTGAAGATCTTGAGCACACAAAGGAACATATATGCATGATTCTCTGCCCTCAGTAGCAAGATGTGATTGTGACCAGTGTCTCTACAGCGTGAGGTAGAGAGCTGGAGACCCTCAGGAGAGGTAACAGGGTCTTTCACAGATGACTAGGGCTTTGACCCAAACAACCACCCAGTAGCCAGGAGTCAGCCTGTATCAAGATCCATTAGTAGCTCATTTTCATTTTCAAAATGTTGCAAGCAAACCAAACGGTTGCTGGAGAGAAAATAAAAATGAGTGATTCACAGGACTCTATTCAGGCTATCAAATACTCTCTCTCTTTGGCTCTTCTCTTTCACACATCCACGCTTTTGTGTCATTTTCAGACACATGCACACACACACACACGCAAACATACACACAAAGTGAGAGATTCATTGATTCAATGCATTTGCATTTGCAACCAACTCCCAGAAGCTACAGTAATTTTCCATGTCTCCCCTTATCTCTCAGTACTATTGTTTTCTTTGTGAATGGGTTACTAAGAATGCATTGAATGACTGTGCTTTCTTTGCCCTGTACAGTGTACTTTGAGACAAAACCACTTGGCCACAATAAACCGCAAAAACACCTCAAAAGCAACTAGTTCTTAAGCCCAGTGACAGCGCTCCAACCACTGGGCAGCCACTTTGATTGGCTGGCTCTGTGGTGACAAGGTGCCTGCAGAAGGAGACACTCGCTCTGCTTGAAGATGACAGCACCATGCAGAGGAAGGAGTGGGCCCTTCACAGTAAATCAAGTGTAATAGGAGAGCACCAGAGGGTGTGTAGGAGCACCAAAAGCACTGCTATCCCAACATTGTTTCCTTCTGCTCTAACCCAGGATGAGCTCCCCAAAGGCATCTCCAGACTTCAATCACATTTGTGCCACAATGGGACACCGATCAGCTCTACCTGGGGTTGCTTTGGTGAGGCCCATCCTTGGTCAGCAAACATGGTGCGAGATGCCCCTCTACTGGCCATGAATGGTTAAAGCAGCAAGGCAAGGCTCTACTGGTTTCTGAATGAACCTCAAGTGCTTGTAGGTTTGTTTGTACACACCACTTTGAAATGGCAGGCACCGCTGCCCTCTAGAGTTTACACTAGGAAGTGCTCACCCCTATTTGAATGTTTTAGGAAAATAAACCTGTTCCATTTCCATGGTAATAGCTGATCTGGGTCAAATGGCATTTGCAAATAGCTGCATTTCTTTGGCCTCTGTAGAATACCAAAGATGTAAAGTTTTCCATAAAGGAAAGTCTGACAAGCAAAGGAAAGCATTTTCCATGTCTTTGCATGATCAGTTTCCTGCACCTGTAAATTCAATCATTCTGGTACTCCACCTTGGCCAAAACAAATACTTGCAAATGCTGCCTGAGCCAGATTTTACCTATAGAGCACCTAAAATACAGCATCGAGTGCCATGAAAAGTAGCGGAATGAAAATTGATCAGAGCTGGAAGTTGAGCACCAGTCAAAAGCTGGAGGGGTGCAGAAGTGGAGGAGGAGCTCATCGTCTAATGACAAGAGAAGCACTGATGTTTTCTCTCAGTTTCTCACACTCCTTATGATAGCCAAATTCAGTAAAGTGAGGTCCAGGCCAAAAAGTAAATGGAATTGTCTTTTATAAAGGCCTAAACTGGCTTTTATAGCATTAAAGATATGTCTTTGGCTATGCATCTGTATATTTACAATATTCAGATGCATACCAATTGCAAACCTACTGGATTGGTATTTTTATATATGACCATATGATCACTATAGTTCGTAATTGCTGCCTTGCCAGGCAGACGATGGCTCCTCCTCTAGGTACAGCTGGAAGATTGACGAGAACAAAGAAAACCAGAAAAAACAGTTTGAGTCTGATTGACAGACTGATTTAAAAAAAATATATAACCAAAAACAATCACATCATTAATAATAACATTAATGAAAACAGCAATAAAAAAACAAACATCTTCATCATTATAATACCTGTAATAACAACATTGACAGTAACAATAGTAATCATAGTAATATTGATAATAATAGCAATAATTAGAATCATTAAAATTCTATAAACAAGAAAAAGCAATGGAGTTCCTCTCTAGTGACAAGAGAGGAAGAGCACCACAGGCAGTGTGTCTGAAGCCCAAACCACTGCCTGACATGAGGTAAAAAAAACAACAAAATTGTCCCCTCCTCCCAGAGGATAGCAGAGGGGGCAGGATGGAGAGATGCTAGACTGCGGGACGGCTGAGAGACATTCATCCTGCTCATTGCTCTCTCCGGCCCTCCACTACACCACTCTGTAGCTATCAATCTGTTTGTGTCTGTCTGACCTCAGACAAAGTGGCTGTAGGGCCCAGTGAGGTGGGTGAAGGCATAGGGAGACACAGTAACCATAGAGGCAGTGTGGAACGTTGTCGCTGACCGCGTCACTGGCCCCTCTCTCTTGTTTTTAGATTGTCCAGGTCCTGGACTGGCACCTGCCACCGTAGCCCCCCACTTGCGTTTCTTCTCAAGGGCCTTGATGTCATCCTGGGAGAGGCCAAGGAGAGCCGCTTCCTGCTGCCTCTGCAGCGCTCGCTCTGCCAGCAGCTTCATTTTGACCTCCCACAGAGCCAGGCCATGCATGGGCTGGTTGAGGTTCTTGTGCTGGTAGAAGACCAGGGAGATGCGGGTGGGGTGGGAGCGATCAGGCTTTTTGATTGGAGTGGTAGCATGTAGTTCCCGACGAGCACATTCAATCAAGATAGAGCCATGAGCCGGTGCTACTGCTACACCACCAATGTTGGGATCCAGGAAGTTGTGCTCACTATCAGACCACACCTCATCCTCATCCTCTTCGTGACCCTTGGTTTGCTCGAAGTCACGCTTAGCTAGGTTAGGGTTCCAGCAAGCCTGATCTGACTGCTGCAAGGTATCAGGGAAGAGGCGGCCCTCAGGGGCAGGGGAAGGGGTACTGCCTGCCATTGAACCTCCACAAGATTTCCGGGCTGCCTCTTGAAGCCCAAGGGGAGTGGAGCACCGACTTTCCCCGGTCTTGGACCAGATCTGGTCAGGGTAGGCTCCAGCAGGACTGCTGTGCTTCAAACCAGGACTATATGCCACAGGACTGGGAGCAGGGCTGGCCCAATGCCTGGGGGTGCCTGGGCATGGGATGCCTTGCTGTGGTGCAGGTGAGCCTGAGTGTGAGGTGCCAGGCTGTGGTGTACCTGGGAGAGGGGTGCTTGGGCGTGGGGGAGCAGGACAAGTAGAGCCCTGGTGCATGTTACCTGGGAGAGCTGTGCCAAGGTTAGAGGACAGAGATGGAGGTACCTGAAGTGATGGTGATGGTGCAGGGGAAGCCATGTGGGCATTTGAGCCAGGGTAGGATGTCCACTGCTGGGGGTAAGGAGAGGGCTGCCGCTGCTGGGGATGCTGGTGAAGCTGCTGCTTTTCTGGGTTCAACAATGAGGCTTCAGGACTTTGTTTAGGGTTTAGGTGACCTTCCCAGTTTGCAGGAACAATAATTCCATTAAGCTTGTGCCCTGGCCAGGCCGCAGGAAGGGGCATGGTGCTAGTTGTACTGGCACCAGCCTGGCTCTGCACTGTGCCTTCATAAACCGGCACATCCATAGGCTCCTGTTTGATGACTGGAGTGCCTCTGTTGGAGAGTTCAGAAGAAGGACAGGGCTGGTTGAAGTCCGCAGGCTGGGCATAAGTGCTGTGGTTTAGTTGGTTGGTTTGCTCTGGGTGGCTGGGGTAGGATTGGGCCAGTTTGGCCTGAAGGCTCTGAGTTTCAGGTTTCCTGTCTACCTGGACAACCTTATTGCCTGCTTTGGGCAAAGAGCTATTTCGACCCTCGTAGGTCCTCAGCTTAGGGGGGAAAAGTGCATTAGGTGGATAGTTGTAGTAGCCATAGTGCATTGCGGGGAGATTGGAGTGGTAGCCATTTACTGGGTCTGGTGCAGAGGGCTGGCCAGTTGGGGGGAGGCCTCCCCTTGCATAGTAGGCAGGGTGTGAAAAGATGGTGCTGAATGGGTCTGCTGCCTGAACAGGGTATCCATCTACTGATCCATTGAATGGCTCCTTTTTGACATTGGGCTTCACCTCTTGTTTTATAATTGCTGAATGTTTGAAACAAAGAATAGGCAAATTACAGACATATCATCACAAATCAGCTTTTTAATGGCATTTTAGATTTTAATTATTTATTTCTACAGTGGACCTTTGTTTTGAAGGTCTCTCACACACACTGCAGGCTGTCAGACAAGGCTACAAGTCAGGCAACCTCATAGAATTTGTCTTAACAACAGCTAACCTTTATTGCCTTGGAGTTGAGGGGAACCTCTGATGCAGACCTCAGCCTTGACCACTGTTTTCTCCGGCGTCTCCCCTGCCTGCTGCATGAGTTTACTTTTCTTCTTCTCTGAGGCGGCCTTCTTTGCCTCTAGTCGACGTTGTCGGCAAGACTTGGCAGGTTCAGGCAACTTACGCACGGGCCTCCTCACTTCCAAACTCATCAGTCAGGGATATCTTATAAAGAGGCAACACATGAAGCTGCTCGTCTTCAGGAATCTCCCCCACCGTACGGTTGTCTTCTTTAGTTAAAGTACACACCTAACAGAGAGCGACACAGACAGCAATAAGAAATGTAAACAATGCCAAGCTAAAACCACGTTTAGCTGATTTAGCTTATTCACACAGAAAAATCCCTTATTAAAAAACTATACATCTCTTATACATCTCAAAATATCCCTAAAGCACAAATTTACATTCATCGTGAGTTATCTTACCACTGTGCAACCATTGTAGAGGTTGTGTTGGTCCTTATGAGCGTGGGCACAGAAGTCCATGCAAGCAGTAACTCCAGAGAATGGCCGGCCTTCTTTCAGACCTAGTCTACACTCTGGAGCTTTGAACTCCCACTGACACTGAGGTAGAGGACAGAGATAAAAGTGTTATTATGTGACAGCCAACATCTTGACGGTCTGATGTATAGTACTACTCAGTGCGTGTGAGAAACATGACAGGTGTAGTTGCTGGTGGCATGTGTTGTTACTATGTGAAGACTGCCTGTACAACAAACCTGGTTACTGTAGGCCTGTGGGGCCAGCTTCTTGTACAAAGGAGCCACCTCAGTTGCCAGATTCTGGAAGTGATCCCTGAGTTTTCCCTCCTGACAAATAAAATCATGGCTCATGAGTAAGAACAAAACACATAAACAGAGTATTATAAATAGCCTACAATTACTCAAGATTACTTAAGTGACTAAAGTAAAATAAAAAGCCTTAAGAATCTGACTAGGACATTATCAGCATTAACATATTCCTGCGTAATGGCATAAAACCAGTGGCTTTAATGTAATGAGTACCTCTTCAGGGTGATCTCCTTGTAGCCTGAACTTGCGTGGCATTTTGCTTCTGGCGTACTTACAGCCATTAAAGTACATACTCCAGGAGCAGCCAAAGGAAAAGGAAGCACCACAAGTCTCAGGATCCTTGCCTTGACATGCACAGGTACGACTGCAGAGGGAGATGATGAGCATGTTCTCAGCCTTATGTATAAACAATGTGTACCCCGTGTATGTTTTATATCACATTCTAATAATTAAGCTGAATGGGACAAAAAAGGTGGAAAGAAAAATGTCATTGAGGAAATGTAGGCAAAATTTAATTTGGAGCATTAATATTACATACAAACCTCATATAACTTTCATGGAACAAATATTTATTCTATATTACACTTACATATGTACCATTTTTGAATATGATTTTCATATTGTTACCTCGAGAAAAGGGGGCACCAAGTTCATTTACAGCAAACCAACCAAGATTTAGTGTAATGAGTGAATAATTACCAAAAAATATCAGTTGAAGTATCAATCTTTAGAGTGGATATATTACACTTAATTAACACATAAGTTTAATAAACCAGTGTAAGAAATTCTCTAAAACACTGAAAGCTACTCTCTCAACAAAACAGACAAACTACATGGCCTTGGGTTTTATACATTTTATTACCTAATCTTCAGCTACATGACTACATTACTACACTGCTCTAATAAATAACTGAATGAATCACAAGAATATAAGTGATGGAGATAAAATGTAAAGACATGATATAGTGAAAGAGGTCTAACTGTTGCCTTTAACCACAGAGCCAGTTACAATAAAGACAGCTTAGCCTACTATGGTTTGGCCTTTATGCCCTGGGCCAAGTAAAGATTTATTTGTTGGAGATGAGGGAAAATAAGGATTTTAAATATAAATTTAATTACTCCATGTTTCTTGTATTTTCTATTCTTTTGCACATGCTTATGATTTTTCTCCTGATTGGTACTTCAATTGATATTTACTGGTAATTAATCACTCATAATAATTACACAAAACTTTGGTTAGTTTGCTGTAAATGAACTTGGTGCCCCCTCTCTCGAATATGAATATGAAAGGCACCGTATAATACACACATATTGGGGTCATCAAAAGGATGATACAGTTTAAAGTACATACAATATTCTACATAACAGACGCACATGTTGCCGGTACTGAACCAAGACAGGAGAGACGTATTTTCTCAACCCAGATGATGAATGCTGCTTTTGTCTAAACCAGGTTAAACAACAGTGTGTTAACATCCATTGATGGCTAAGTGTGTGAGCGGGCTTTACATAATAACATAGTGGGCTTGGCATGAATATATGTAACACATGACATCAAGCAGTGTACATACACCTGTTGGGGAAGATATATAATTTAGATTTTGCCTGCACAAATGATATGTCTTGATTTTAGCTTACTGTCCCTGGGGTCCTTACACTGCCACATCACAGACTCTGACAAAAACACAGATTAGGCAGTGGACTCCCATTTTATAGGATTTTGTGCATTAGCCCATACATTCCTTAGTATTTCCTTCCCAGAAATCCTGATAAAGTTGACTTGGGATTAAATATTTTAGCATGTTTCAAATATTTTTTCCCTGTCTTCCTCCATGGCCAAAGGTACAGACAGTGTTGCAACATACTGTAATGCTGAAATATTGACAATCTGCCTGTTCCAGGCACATTTAGTATCCATCAACTACTCACTCATCATTGAGACCACAGCGTCGGCTGGTGGGGTTGCCATATTTGGTGATGGTGTCACTGAGCTCACGGTACAGTTTGTCTGCCAGGAACCTTGGGACACCTTCCCAGGCCATAATGAGGATGATGATGACAGCATTGGCACAATGGTGGCCTGCACGATGACGCACCAGACACAGCAGCTTCTCTTTCTCGCTGCTACGACGAATTACCTGACAGAAAACAGAGCTTTTCATTATTTTAGCTTTGAGGAGGGTAGCTAAACAGAGTTGTGTAAGTGCCTGCCAAATGATTATTTTCTACTTCTCAACATTTCAATACAGAGTATTAAAAATAAATGATTAGTTGAACCTTACAGTGCTGCACAACCTACCGCTGCCTACTATAATAGTTACTGAATTGTTAGTAATAATTATTTAAGCTAATAAAATTGTCACCTTTAGCTGTAAGGCACACGTTTACACAGGTACATGCTTTTGAAATACAAAGTAAGACACTGCAGTTGATTAAACTCTGTTCTGCAATTATGTTTGACATCTATACTGAAACCTGACCTGTTTTGGTGAAAGCTATTAATACTAATTCTCTGTATGATGTGACAGGTTAAATTAACTTAGCTGCAGAGTCACTTCACAAGTTGCCTCTTGTCAATATAGAATGAACACAAATGTTCTTTTTTTTACTCCTTGTATGTAGCAGAACCATCACCTGCTAGTCATCATCACTTGATGTGAACTTTTGTAGCGTGACTTTTCAGAAATTCACATTCCATATTTACATTTCATTTGGTGTGAAAAAATGTGGTGCGTTTAAATAGCCTCTGAAAAAAATCGCTATTTTGTATCATTTATTCGTGTCGCTCTTGGTATGAAAAGACTTTTAGTTTGAAAGTTATTCACAAAAAACAATATTTCAGCAATGCTGATTTTCCTCAGGATCTAGTGCAGCAGACTCATTGATCCTCTACTAAATCAGCAGAGTTTTAGCTAGAATTGAATCTTAGTTGCAGTCTGTAACATCATTTACAGCAGGTTTTCTGTGAGACAGTAAATGTGAACATTCTGGATCATCACATCCGGAATATTACTCACATCCAGATCAGACTTTGGTGTGCAGAAGAACTTATGTGGATGTTATATTGCAATTTTTGTCTAGGCATTTTATCCATTACATATGGAGTTTGAAGACAAAATATTGAAATTGGCCCTGTCTCAGTGATGAACAATCCTTTAAAAGATTCCTGGATCCGCACCAAAATATAATGGAGTGCTCCATGGACTATACCCTCTCTCTCCAAAAAAAAGTTCAGTCAAATCATTCATTTTAGAGATATGCTGTGAACAAACCAACAAACAAACAAACTCTAGCAAATAACTAGAAAATATACCAGTGGACAAAGAATATAAATATCCAACATTTTACTTCTCATAAACATAATAACTGATTCCGCACAACTGTTTCTTCTACCAGACAAGATAAATGTCTTCTGCGCAAGACCACTCTCTTTGACTTATATTATCTCAACACTCTCTCTGTCTCCAACACATACACACTCAGCCTTGTGCAGTAGGATGGCAGTTTGAACCCATAAAGCCATTAGCAGGATGTGTCAGGGAGCCATGGGAGGGGAGGGCACTTGTCACAGAGTGAAACCTCCTACTGACTTACTCACTGTGGGTGACAAACCTGGTTGAGTGTCTCCTCAGAACCCCTCATTATACACACCTACACACACACACACACACACACACACACACACACACACACACACACACACACTGCACAAATCTGTTGTTGATTGGCTGTTACTGTTGTCAGGTGGAACAAAAGTCTATAACACCTCCCCTTCTCTTCTTCACTCTCTCACAGGAACACATTCAGGATTAGCTCTGAGTTGCTGAGTTGCTTTGAAAAACATTTTATATATATATATATATATGTACATATATAAACAGTCACAATACCAGGTATTGTTCCAATTGTATTCACCTACATTTCCGTTTCCATCAAAGTTATTTTCCCCGGAGAACAGGAACCTTTTGCAGAACTTAGCTTATCTTCCTGAGTTGCCAACAGAGTAACTGTGGTCTACAATAAGTTCTGGGTTGTAGTTCTACCCCTTGAGAAAAGAAAGTTCCTAATTGGGGGTAGTACTTTCTGAAGGTCCAAGAACAAGGTGAGGTGAGGCCTGCAGTGCTGAATGTTGCTAACCGGCCAAATACTGCATGGGATTTTACACGGGACATTCTTACAACTCCTCATGCCAGCCATTGTGCTTTTACTTCACTCGGCTAATTTGTTTAATCTTCCCGAGGCTTAGGCCCTGCTGTGGACACTCAAATCACAATGTGCTCAAAGGACTTTCACACAGGGAATGTTCCTAGACTTTCTAGAGGAAATGGCCTAAGGTTTTGTAACGCAAGACATTGTGAAAACTGATGTAATGTAACGACAGATGTAATGTAACTGCTACTTGCTTAATGTTACTTACCCACTTAGCAATAGGACATCCATGAGAGCTCTTTCCTTCTTTGCCTGTGTACACAACCTTCTCAATCCGGATGGCATCCCCTTTCTCTCCATACCTACACAGCAGGAGAGAACCAATGTAGATATTTTAATGGTCAAGCACTTCAGCCCTTGCGGTTTGGAGCTAGAATGGCCTCTAGCCCTGGTTCCTGACACACCAAGCTGACACACAAGTGGCCTACATTTAGACACATGCTGTAGTCAAGGTCCTGAGAACCACCAAGCTGACCTCAAAGAACTAGTGCCAACACAAGCTGACAGATCAAATTCTCTGCATCGCTTCTCATGGCCTTGTGTGTTCTGTTAAAATTTGCAGTAGAATGCACCACAAAGGGTACATCTAACAGCCAGCTGACTGAGTTCTGACTGCATTAACATTCCAAAAAACATTAAAACAGACACGCAAAACAAATTTTGATTTTCATGCTGTATCATGGTGACTCTGGTTAAACTGTCTTATGCCAATCAGGAAAACACAATAAACATGTGAGCTTAATAATTTACTGATTTGAACAATCTTACAGATTTAACATGCTCAGTTGGCAAAATGGTTTCTGAGGAAGGTTAACTGGGGCCGATAGAACAACACTGCAGAAACTATGAGTGACATATGGATACAGAAGCTTAAAGCAGTCCAATAGCATCTTAGCAACTGGTGACTGCTGGCTGGGTGCATCAGAGCTGCAAAAGGAGACACGGTCCTGTAGTTCAGAAGTTAATCATTGATACATTTTTGTCATCATTGACCTTATAAAAAGTTTTCTTATTGCTTTGCTTGTGTTGCTCTCAATCTGTGGTATTTTCTGTGTGTGAAATCTACTGGTGTGGTGTGTCAGCTCTGCCAAATACATGCCAACCTCACCAAGTCTGGCTGGAGAGGAGCATTCACAAGCCTCTGCTGAGATTCACACATGCATGGGAGAGTAAACCAGAATCCACTAGTCTTTTCACAATGCCATTCACAAGCTCTTCTCTCAGAGTTAGTTCTATGCTGGTGTTTGTGTCCATTAAAATATCTTTGTCTGCACATTTGTCAGTTTGTTTTTATGTTACTGCATTTTGTCAATCTTTTTGGTAGAGGGTGAAGGTATCTAGGAGTAAGTAGGGGTTGGAGGCTGCACTGGGAAGGAGGAAGATCATCAGAAACGTCACATCATATTAGGCCTCCTCTCAATACCTGCTGCTGACAAAACTTCAGCCCTGATCAGATTTAATGTGACAGTGAACACAAGTGGCTCCTGCTGCATAGGCATCACCCTGAGGTGCTGAGGTGTCTTGGAGAGTGAAAGGGGAGTAGGCTCTATCGCCACATGGGTGGCCTGCTGAGGTCAGAAGTGCATCAAAGGTCAGCTGGGCACTATGGGTCTTGACAACTTATGTCATCTCTCAAACAACAAAAAGTGGTCACTGGTCTAACATCCCCCACTCAGCCTGTCCTCTCCAGGGACCAGTGAGTCATATGTCCTAGTGAAGTTAGCTTCTCAGTGAATAACAGCCAAATGTGTGCAGTGTTCAGTACTGGTGATATGAAGCATGACACAATGAGGCATCCAGTTATAAAAGGACACTACAGTCAGTACAAGATGTTTTTTGAGGTTATAAATGACTGACATCATACAACATCACCAGACTGTGTTAACCAATCTATGAAACACAGCTGTCAATCTTCATCTTGCCTCATTTATAAAAACACAGCATATTTTACCTTCAGTTTTTGAGCTTTGCATGAACATTTTTCCACTTTCAATTTTATTAAACACCCAATATCAGCCTGAATTAGGAAAGGGGTGCTATATAATATAAATACTGTAACTGAACTTTTTCTTAGTGCACAAAAAATGCACCACTTTTCATACTTTCTACAAAAATGTTATTTTGTCGTTTTCTTTCATCTTCCTCTCCCTCAGTCCTCCTGTCTCTCTTTCTGTGATTGGACTTCTGTCCTTCTTCCTCCCTCTTCTCTTTTGCTGCTCCTGTGTTCCTTGCTCTGCTTCTGATACAGTATCCTACCGATGCTGATATGTTACTCCTACTAGATTCTGGGTCATAGATTCCCAAGGGACAAAATGTGAGGAGGAGGGCAGCTGGAGAGAGAGTGGGGGGAGGGAGAGGCAGAGAAAGAAAGAGCATGTAGGAGGAAGAGAAGAGAAGAGAAGAGAAGAGAAGAGAAGAGAAGAGAAGAGAAGAGAAGAGAAGAGAAGAGAAGCACTCACCTTGTCTCCATCAGTTGTCGTATGGAGGCAACAGTAGGTCCAGATCCCAGGTGATTGTAGTAGGGCCCTTCATCTTTCTCCACTATTTGTTCTATAAAAGGAAACCAGACAGAGTGAGGAAACAACAAATAACTGGTCCTGAAAAGCCACGTGTGTTAACAAATGTGTGACACACATTTAAGTGACAGATGCTTGAGTAAATATACATTGCTATTATTTATTGTTGTTGCTCTACCATTATGAGTTCATATCAGTATTAATACTACTCTTATATCACTTTATGAATCATTTAAAACTTCCTTGTCTTGCATTCTGAAAGGAAGTGGGGCAAAATTTGACTGATTTTAATAGTCAGAAACTGACAGACCAGAGAGCAGCAGCCATTATCACATACACATGGTGGATATTTGAAACTGCTAAATGCTTCCACATTAAATACTTGAATTTGTTTATACTTGCATTAAAAGTATTTTAGTGTCAACATTGTCAGCAACACAAAAAGAAATCCTCTGTGGTGTAGATTTCTTATGTTTTCTAAAAGTTTCTGAACACTGAATTGATTGCAGAAACTTTTTCTTTTTACTAGTGCTGAAACCAAATCCTGCTTGGATCCTGCTAATGAGTATTCACCTCACTGAACTAAGTAATGCCTCACTCAATCTGCAAACATTTAGCAGTAAAATGCCTCAATAAAGAGTGAGCTGTGTCTTTGCTTGTCATTACATCTCAGCTTCCTTAAAGATAATGTGATCAGATATATTTTTAGACACATGCAGACATTCTCTTTGTAGCTGAAGCCAAATTATATATGGGAAGCATGAGTATGTGCAGCTGATTGCAACATCTAGTGCCCACAAACACACATGAGCACACATACCCCTGCCACACACAGACAGTGGGCCGCAGGGTGTGGTGCATTTGTGGAGACACTGTAGAGTAGAAGCTTTTTGAGGCACAGATGAATGACTCAGTGTGTGTGTGTGTGTGTGTGTGTGAGCGTGTTAAGAGGGAGTATGGGTGTGTCTGAGTGCATACCGTGCACATCTGTGTTTATGTTATGTATGAGCTTTGTGCATGTGTGTGTAACTACGTTAGACTATTGTCTTACATATCATATGGTAAACTTTGTATGTGATACTGTGCAGCTGAATGTACCCTATATTAAATATTAGATTCCAATGGACTTTGCATTACCCACTATAGCTCTGTAACTGCCTTTTATGTGTTTTTGTGTTTTAAAATAAAGTATTTGGCAACTAAAACTGGTGGTCTTGCTTCTGTATGTAACACTTCTATACCATCTCTAGTCTAGTACACACTGACTTGACTGTAGAATGCTGTAATGTTCTACATGATCACCTCATTATCTGAAATGTGGACATACAGTTAGGGTTTTCTATCTCTGCTTCAGAGGCAGTATGAGGTCACATTCCCCTGTTAGTGCAGAGAGACACCAGGGTGTGGCTCAGGGCAGGAAGTTGAGGAGTCTGCCTCCAACATAAGAGTATGTCTTTTTCCAGTACAGTGTTATGCTACAGGGACTTGACAGAGAAGTGTGTGACCAAGCTTTATTATGAAAACTTGTTGGCTGCTGGTTTTTACTTTTACCAGGACACAACTAGCAAGTGTTTCCCTGCAGCTGCTCGCCTCCTGTTCTGCACCCTCTTCAATGGGACAGCACGGGTCTATTTACCAGGCCTCAACCCTTCAAAGTCCTACAATTAACAGCTTCTTGAAAAATACTGTCTTTCAATATTCGGTTATTGCACCAAGTTAATGAACTGTTACCCACAGTAGCTAGTTTTCTGATTTACTGAGTCAATTAATAATGACTTAGTAGACAAAGACAGGCTGATTCATTTTACATAACTCAACCTTTTACTCTGTAATACAGTGCTGCACCAACTAATCTATAAGTTAATAAAAAAAAGATTCTAAAAATAGTTAGCAACAAATTGAACTCTAGAGGGGTGAGACTGTCTCTGAGAAAAATGGCAGAATGGGAGGATACAGAGCATGGTACAAAGGAGAGAAGTGGAAGACCAAAGTCATCTAAAGTTTGGGAGAACTGGATATTACAAAGTGAAAAGAAGATTGTTGAGTGCTTAGTATGCAAGTCTGATCTGTTGTGGCACAGGAACACAACGGTAACAATACTGCATGAGCACTGTTATTTTAATAGAAGTGGTGTAAACATGTTTGTATTGAGTACATGGCTTGTTCAGAAACATGAAACAGTTGGCAACCAATCATCCCAGCACAGAAATACACACGGCTTCCCCCTAACTGGCTCCTATGTTATATTACTGTCACTAAATGTCAGACCTGTTTACTTGTTTTCAGGCATAAAAATAACCTGCAGAAACTGTTTTAATTAGGATAGTGGTGCAGTGCTTGATACATTCAGCCACTGAAAAATAAACAGGATAAAGGATGTCTTTATTCAAGAATCCTAACTCTGTAAACATATTAAACATGTAAACAGACAAGAATTATATAAAATACAATAAGCCACACTAAGCTACCGGTATATGGTTGTGTCCAACTCCATATACAGTCTGCCATTATACTGTATATGCATGCTCACACATAGAGAGCACATTATATAAGTTAAATATGTGTATTGTGATATATTCAATAATACAGCTTAAACATCTAAAGCAAAAACATTGTTGAGGAAATGTGTTCAGATTTTAGCATTCTTTTCATAACAATCTGACTGATCAATGAAATAATCTACAGATTAATCAAATATTAAACAGTTGTTAGCCTTACTACAATAATGTGTATGTATCGACTGGTAAATCCACCTAGACTAACTTTATCTACTTGCTAAGGCTGGCAAAAATCTTTATAAATTCATTGTCTTATTCTTTTTAAATATTTAGCATATAATATGATTTTTAAATTTCCATGAATTTCCACCTCAAGACCACCTACTCAGTTGTAAACAAATAATCTGAGTAAGGCACTACCCAAGCTACGGGAGTGAAACCCTTTCCGTCAAACAAAGACTGTTCTGCTTTCCTGCCAGACCCAAGTGCACACAAAAGGCTCCTTCTGCCACCACTGCTATTGTTTCTGCCCACTGCCTTCATTGCCTCACACTGTCGCAGTCTGGATGGTTGCGGCCACACGCCCTGGCAACACACACTTTCTTCAACAAGCATCCAGACAGAAAGTAAGTAGAGTAAAGCACTGTCAGTAACAGCATTATGGGATAAGTAACTTTTAGCTCAATAAGAAAACATTAATGTGTACAGATTTAGAAAGCGCTCCCAAGAGTCTTACTTGCAAAATATTCATGCTATTTAACACTGGTCAGATTTACTGGACTAACAGATGTACTTATATATATCTCTGCTCAGAAATGAAAGGGTGATGTTTGGGGAGGAGAGATATTATTGAAAATGTGTCTTTCAAGTGCTAATGCAGTTTGTATACACAAACGCATACAGACACTTAACACACAGACTTACCCACACAGTTGCAGGTGGGAAACTCTGCCTCTGAAGCCTTGGAAGGAGTACTCAGCAAACTCTTGGTGGGGGTATCCAGATAGCGCAGAGGAGACTCTAAGAAGCCTCTGAGAGATGGAGAAGAAGGCAGACTGTCCTTAGTGGGTGTGTCCTCCTCAGAATAGCATGTGGTGGACAGTACTGCTATATCACCAGAGGCTTCAATCTTCATGCGTTTAGGCAGCGGAGAACATGGTATGCTTGATGTATCCCCTAACACACTGGGCTGCTGCTGTTGCTTATCCAGAATGGTCTCCTGTTGCAAAGAGACTTGGAGGGGCCTCTCAAGGTGATCCTTCATAGCGCTTTCTGTGGATACCTGGTTCAAGTTAGCTTCACTTGGGGTCCCTGACTCATCCTTGTTGACTTCCATCTCCTGATCATCTGGATGAGGTGTGGAGCTGGCTTGAGAGGTGGGAGTTATAGGAGTAGACTGGGAAGTGGATGAGGATATACGGCTGAGATCCTGAGGACTAATCTGGGACTGATTCCCCAGGTGAGGGACTGTAACAGTCTCCTCCATGGGCTGACAGGCAGACGCATCTGGGCCTGAGTCTCCAAATTCAGCCTCAAACTGGCGGATCAGTTCTTCATACTTCGGGTCAATGTTGATGAAATTGGGTAGTTGTGAGGTGTTGGATGGAGATGTGGAGGTCAGAGATGCGTTGGTGCTGGTGTTACTGGAGGCCAGGCTGCCCACTACTTCTGACTTAGTATGGGCTGCAGGGTGAACAGGTGGGGGCAGAGGGCCCATGAGGGCTGGCGTATTTTCTGACAAAGCAGAAACAGTGGAAGAGGGAGTCATTGAGGAGTTGGGAATTAATACCTGAGATTGGGCTGGGTTAGAGAGGCCTGCAACAGCAGCCTGAGTGGAGTTATTGTGGAGGAGCAGAGAGGGGAAAGAACCTGCTTGCAGGCTGGTCAGGGCTGGGGCTCTGTCCATCATGAGGACTGATGGTTTATGTACTGTGATTTGAGTCTGAGGCAGGAAGGTTGGCATGGAGGCTTTTTGCTTGGTCTTCTTGATGATTATCTGTTTGGGTTTGGGAATGGGAGGGCCTGTAAGCATCCCACTAATAGGTTTTATGATAGGAGATCCCGGGCTGCTTTTTTTCTTCTTGGGTTCCTTGAGATCCTGTTTCATGGCCAGATGTGGAAAAGGTTCTGCCTGTGGCCACCATTTTTTCAGGCTTTGGCAAGCCACAGGTGCACGCGGGCCTGGTGTGCCAAAGCCAGAAGAGTGGTTAGAGAAGAGGTTCCTCTTGTAGTGAAGGTGCTGTTGCAGAGCTGCCTGAGTGGAATGGCTGATGGCTGCTTGGACAGGAGACAGAGAAGTGCCAGGGTAGTGCTGACTCTGTTGCTGACCATTAGCCATGCCATAATGTCCCATGGAGGCAGTGTGATGGTAGTGCTCACCAGAGTCTGGCTCTTGCTTTATCCGGTCCATTGACGTGTTATGCTGGGCCTGGATACCCCCATTCTGGTTCAAGATGGACTTCTGTGTGACTGGAACTTTGAAAAGAGCATTGCTGAACTTCCCACTATTATCACCAAGCAGCTGTTTGAGCTCTGACATGGGATCTGAGCTACTGTGAGGTGCAGCAGCAAAGTGAGATTGGGGCTCCGACTTCAAACACATCCACGGGTTTGTCTGTTCAGAGCCTCGGTTTGAACCTTGCTGCCACTGTTGGGGATTAGGGCTGAAGCCTGGAGGTTTTCCCTGTCCTGGGAAGGGAGAGGTAGAGGATGGGAGAGGGGTAGCATGGCATGGCTGACCCTGGGACTGGGGCCTATGATGCTCACAGGACACTGGGGTCTGCTGGCTGGTGTGCAGTCCTGGAGGGACAGACTGAGAGCGTGAGGAAGATGAGTTGGTGTCAGAAGAGGACGGGTTCAGACTAAAGCCACTGGGGGGCTGAGCTGAGAGGTTATGGGTATGTTGGCGTTGATGGAGGTTTCTGTTGTAGGGGGTTTGACCCAGAGAGGTGGCAGCTTGTGGACTGGTACCAGATAACTGAGTCAGGGCTTCTATGGCAATGGCTGTCTGAAGACTGATGTTCTTTTCCTTGGCTATAGAGAGCACCTGGGGAGAGCAAGGAATTGGGGGTTTGGAGCAGGGCACTTGGTCTGGGTGAGAGCCTTGAGTTCCCTTTTGCGGCTGGGAGTATGAAGTAGCCAGACAGTGGCCACCATTTATCTGTTGATAGGGCTGAGGTTGCTGCTGTGAATGGGGTTGCTGTAGGTGAGGCTGTAAGTGTGGGGGAGCATCAGCTACCTTGTGGGCACCTTGATCCTCACTGGTTGCCAACTTAATCTTCTTCTCCAGCCACTCAAGGTAGTCTGGACAGTCTGGCCCATCACAATTGCAGTTAGGGGGCTTGTGTCCATGTTTGGCTTGACTCAGTGCTGCCTGTAGGGTGTTAAGGTCTTCTGGAGGTTGGCAGCTTCCCTCAAGAGTCCCTGGAGACAGTCTGGCCTGAGCCCCCTCAGCACCCATCTCCTGGATGAACTTCTCATACAACTGTGCTGTGTTAGGCTGCACGAGGAGACAGGAAGGGGAGGAAGAGGGAGGCAGGGAGCCAGCAATAACAGAAAAATCCACCAGATTGCGGGCATCCTCCACATCTGCATGGTGGATTGGTCTACCATTGCCTGCACCACTGCGGCTGCTCCAGCATGGTTGCTCTTGTTGGGTGTCACTGACCTTGCCATGTCCTGCCACCCAGCACTGCCTTAAAGGCACACTTCCTGCCCTCTGCTGCTCTGTTTTCAAAGATGTCTCATCATCATTAGGGTAGCGATTCACCCCATTGGCCAGTTCCAGGCTCAGCGCGCCTTCTTGAAGGCGGTCATGTGACCCAACTTCCATCTGGCCTCCACTTCTGGGGCCATCCACTGAAGTGACTTTGCAAACAGGCTGAAAGACAAGCAAGACAAACAAGATGAGTGTGGTCAAAAGAAGCCAAAACATCCAGGACTGATATGCATCAAACATTTTATGCTACATTAGGTAAGATTATCCAGTGTTGTCCATGTGTATTTACTGTAATAATCACTGTAAATGAAAAAATAAATGTGCATTTTTAATTTTTATTCCAAGAATAATTTGACAGTGTATCAGCCATCAAAAATTATATCAGAGGCCACTGTCTTCTTCCCAACTCTTATCCAGGGTTTTCTTCCCACCTCTCAGACACACAGAACACACAGGGCAGCAGGATCAGGTCAACGGGGACAAGGAAAATTAACTACTGTTTCAGCCAAGTGATTTCACAAAAGGTAAGCATTTTGTCAAACAAATCACTGGTCATGTGACATAGTTTCCCCATTGTTTGTATCTGGAAAATGACAAACCTAGAAACATGACCTGACTGTCATGCCCTAGCAGGTAAAAGTACAGTCATAATGTAAATGATAATGTAAATGAGACAACTGCTGACCAAGTGAAGAGCTATAAATACTATAAATATAAATTCTTTGTTAGAGCAGTGAGGGAAAGTCTTGTTTGCCCATGACTTTGTGTTTGAACATAACAAATATTTGGTCAGGAGACACAGATAGAGGGTTGATCGTTAAATGCAATAGTGTGTGCACTGATGTTTGAAGTGTGGTCTGTAATCTCTCAAACATTCTTAGAAACCAATTTAGGGCTTACATAACAATAATACAAATACAAATAATATCTTTGGCCTCAATAATGAAAGTACAGGGTTCCAGCAACTGCAGAGTGTCAGCTGGATGAAGTATTATGGGCACAAAAGTCTTTTTGTGGACTCTAATCCTTATTTAATATACTGTATTAGTAAAATGTAATAATCATGGGAAAGACTATTTGACATAACTTTTCTTTGTTTTATATGATTAAAAAAGTTATTTGGCTGATGCACTGGGTTGTATAGAAGTCTCTTTCAATACAAGTGCTTTGGTCTGACGAACAATTTAATATTTTTCAAATAATGCTTGCAAACAAATCTTTGTTCTTGATGTCAGAGACTTTCATAACAAAATACAAGCAACAACTGACTGCTACTGATATTTGATAAAGACTGCTCTACAACTGAACCTGCTGTTGGCTGGAAAAGTGACAAAGTAACTGTAGGCTGTCTGCCTTGGATGAACTGCTTTCCTAGATGCTCATTTTTAAAACTGCACTAATAGTAAGTCATCCATTCCCAGCACACCACATCAGAAAAAGCTAAATGTAGAAACATTTTACAAATATGCTGGTTGAGTCACACATAAGTGAGGGAGTCATTCTTTTGTATTTTAATTACAACACTTAAATATTAGAAGGGTTGAAGTCCTTACCAAATAAATTTGGTAACGCTGATAAGGAGTTGATCAGTGCAGCCACATATATGTATCCCACTTCCTCTCTGAGTCAAAACTGGGACAGTTACCACATTAGTTTTAGAAAAATATGTCACCTGATCTGGTGTCAAATTACATTTTCAGAGAATTATATTTATTTTAGTTGGCTTAAAGCACCTGGGGCGAATTTTACTACAACAGTGTATAACAGGTGCGACCAGTTTAGCAAGTAATGTTTAATGTCTAAACGGCTCGTAAATCTAAATTACCTTGATATGTTAATGTCAACTGGTTCTTCAATTTACTTAAATCACAAGATGTTACCTGCACGCAGTGTTCAACCCAGGTTAGATCACCACAGATTAGAACTAAATGAGTTTGGAGGAACAGCAAACAAAGAAAATCCAAGGGCATATTGAGAAATTATTGACAGAGTTCATGTTGTGGCTGAACAGTGTATTCCAACATTGTGACAGGAAAACAATACTCATAATTCTCATGATATAAAAATGTTCTGTGTTAGCCCCGTTAAAAGAAGCCAACATCTTATTAATAACTTTTTAGTGAAAAATACTTATACTTACAATTTTACTATAAACAGTCAAACATCCTAAACAGTAAAGGTCACTTCCATGCATCAGAATTTTGGTTGTATGCACAACCTTCCCTAATATACTAAGATATCCTTTCCAATCCTTCCCATGCTGAGATACAACAAACACTGAACTACAACAATGTAATGGAATGTCTCACACAATGCCTTACACATATACACAAACTAACCTTAAGCCAGCTGGCAGCCTCATACCCCAACATACTGTAAATGTGAACTAGTTCCTGATTCAGATGCGAATCACCTAGTTTTTATCACCTCCTCTCAGAAAACAGAAGATGGCTTCTGTTGGTAGGTCCTTCAGTGTATGACAGCAGAAGTGAGCATGACGTCCAGCTTCCCCATCATTTGAATATTATTGAAATGAGCCTTTGAAGTGGCTAATTACTGGACGGCCAGTAGACTTGGGGCTTTTGAATCCACCTTCTGCGCTGGGTGTCTGGTGGGTGTCCCTGGGGGGATGGTGGTGGTATTGGTGAGAGGTGGTGTGGGGTTGGAGGGGGCGTTGGGGTTGGCAGTGAACAGCCGGCATGCAATACGTGAGAGGCCTCATGTCAGCACTATCAGTGGCATCAGATGGGAAAGAGGAAGGGGGGTAGTAGCTGTGTACGGCAGTTATGAGAACTGCAGTGTGTCGAAACAAAGCGACTGCAACGCTGCATAACCTAACATCCCACAGTCACGCACACAGTCAGTCACACTGACACTTTTTTTTTCTCTCTTTCTCACAGTTACATATACGAAACACTGCCGCAAACAAAAGTCACATGGGTTTAAAGCACCTAGAAGCTGAAGCTTTAAAACAAATGGATTTTGCAGGCACACAAACAACAGATAATGACAACTTTAATTAACCTAGGTTGACTTTCTGTGAGTCTATATGATAACCAGGATGCTGCAACTGCAGCGTTTTAAACCCCTCCAGGTGCCTTACAGTGTGCAAACCACGTGCTTTGACAAATATTTACACCATGACAGAACCGACTCTTATACCAGGGGTCCATCTCTGTCTTCTCTCTGTTTCACACGCAAACGCATATACATTTGTACAAGCTTGACACACACCAGAAAATGCATCCAAAAACATCAACACACCTAACCAGCTCAGATCTTGCAGAACCTGGTAAACCTGACACTTGAGTCTGGGAGCCCTTTAAACAAGTTAACCCTCTACAGTTCTGTGTGAGCACAAAGCCAGGGTTCTTTAACACTGACACTGGAAAAAAAAGGAGAGACAAAGTATGTAAAGATACAAGTGGTGGTGAGGGGGTTAATTTCAGCTTGTGAGTAGACAGCTGAACCCAAAAACACAACTCCCCCTATCCTCCCTCTTGTCTCTTGTCCTCCTCCTGCTGCCCCCACCCCTTCCTTTGCTACCGCGCTGAGCAGGAACATGAAGCAGAGACCCTGACAATACGAAGCCGGCTGAGAGCCTCGAGGAACAGCGACACATACTTACATGGTCCTAGACGTCCAGACAGAGCTGCTGGTAGGAGAGCAGAAAGCAGAAGAGGACACAGAGAGGAGCATGAGACTGGTTCGCCCGCACAGCAGCCCACAAGCCGTCCGGCCTTGTTGGGTTGTATTCCTTATTATTTCTACCAGGCTGTGCAGCGCACAGACAGAGCCGAGAGCCGAAATACACATGCATGCATTCACACATGCACATGCAGCCAGCTACACACACAACACACTTCCCCCCAGCATAGTACACATGTTTCTCATTCTCTTGCCTCTTCTTATGGCCGACGCTTTCTGTTCTCTCCTTTTTCCTTTCTCATTATCTCTGTCTGCTCCTCCCTTCCCCTTTTCAATATCCTCTTTCTTTCTCTCGGCTACACATGCAGTCGGCTTCTCTTCACAGCCCCCACCTTCCCCTTTCTCTCCTTCCCTCACTCCATTCCCCTCCCTCTCACGCAGCGTCTCCCTCCATCTCCTCTCCTCTCTCTCTTCAGTATGTGCAGAGCGAGAGGCCATTATCTGAGCCACAGCAAGCACGTACGATGGAATGGAGGAGTGTGCAGTGAGCTGAAACACAGAGCTATGAGGGATAGTCACTAGTAGCAGCAGCCTAGGAAACAGTATAGTGCAGCAGAGCTCTTATCTGTCTTTCTCCATGCCCTTCAACACTTGCTCTACTGCATTAGATGATGTTACAAATAAGGCTATGTTGTGCTTTCTGTTTATCCACAAAAGCCCAGTATTCGCAATTTTGGATATGACAAAGCTCCTCTACTTTCAAGTGCAAAGGCAAATCAGCAATTGCATCCAATCGAAACTCAGAACGGCATCAACAAGAAAAAGCAATGCTACATTGTTTGCCTATGCCTTCTGCGCACCGCATCTGCTTTTCCTTACGGAGATTCTGTTTCGTGTTTGAGCGTCTAAGTTTGGCTCAGCCCTGGGCCAAAGGAGAAGCCACTGATAATGGTTCTTCAATCGCCAGTTTCGTCCTCAACCTCATCAGTTGCCAGTTCCTCGCTTGAGACAAAAAACTCCAATCTTACACCTGTGGTTGATAACAGATCCTCTAGCAAGGCTGTATGCACAAGAAAGAGAAAGCTCAGTAGGTGAAGAGGGAGCTGGTTTGCTGGTGGACATGCTAGCCCTTCCTCCAAGATCCAGAGAATACAGATGAGGTGGAAGGCTTCTGACTTAAAGAAGCTGAGGGTCACTTGATATACAATCATTTCTAAAAACTCTATAATGCCAACTCACCATAAGGGGGAAAGGACATGGAAGAATGATGGTGATATTGCTACAACATAAGTAAAAAGAACAAGTCATCTATACAGGGAACAGCGGATGAACAGCGGATGCGTCAACATCAGCAAGCAAGAACAGCAGGACAGACAGAAGGGAACGAAGGAAGACACTGAGGAGAGGAAGAACAACATCTGCGGAAAAACCAGTTAAAAGGTAGAGTCGCTCAGTTATTCATGTGACTGATTCTGTAACGGGAGAGAAGATGATGAAGAAGAGGAAGAGTGTAC